ACACACACACACACACACACACACACACACACACACACACACACACATAAATGCAGAAAACACACACAGATAAAACAAAAATAAGTGAATCTTCGAAAGCATTTTAAAATAAAGTGTTAATTTTAAGAAGTCTCTTCTAAAATGACATATCCCACCTAAAATCCACACAGTAACCCTTCCAAAGTGCCGGAGATGTGTTTGCAAAGATGAGTCATGGAATAAAGAAATAAATACTATTGCATACATACCATTGTGAATATGAGGGATGGAGAATTGATGATTCTCAGTTTGGTTTCCCTGGATGAGGGTGGTATTTTCTCCATCATTACTTCTCCAAGCTGAGGAATAATGGATTTCATAGTGTTCATGTTAGATATCCAGAGAGAGAAAAAAAATCCCATTTATGCAATGTGAGAAGCTTAGATTCTGGAAGCAGGTATAATTAACACTGATAACTGAATCAGTAAAAAAAAAAAAAAAGAAGAAGAAGAAGAAATGCATCCAACAGAGATGAAGTACCAAACACAAGTATTGATGCTCTTCCTGACATCAATTGACGTCCATCTGGAGCATGGACTACTATCACATCCCTTTTATAGGAGATGACACTAGGGCCCAGAGAGGATAGATAACCTGCCTGGGTTCACAGAGGCAGAAGTTGAACCTAGACATTCCTAATCTGCCCTGGATCTTAAAGTACAATTGAATCCTAACACTTAGTTGAGTAAAAGATTAGATTCCCCTTAAATGAAAATTTTCATTTTCTGAAAATGCAATGAGACATCATCATTTTTACGTCATTCTGAAGATTACTGCAAGAATACCTGTATCAATATATCAAAAAGAATATAGTATTCTTATTTCTTCATTATTATAATATATTGTTGTTTATAATTATAATTTAATTATAAGTTCTGTTTGTAAACAGAATATTATAATATTCATTATGATCAATGCATTGAATTTAGAATATTCTAAATAAGTAATAGCTTAAGTATTTATTAATTTAAGAAAGGTCAAGGGTTTAATTAAAATATCAAAAGGAGCCAGGCTGTGGTGGTACACGCTTTTAATCCCAATAATCAGGAGGTAGAAGCCGGTGGATCTCTGAGTTCATGGTCAGCCTTGTCTACAGAGCAAATTCAAGAACAGTCAAGGACTACACAGAAATCCTATCTCAAATAATCATATAAATGAATAAGTAAGGAAACAAACAAACAAGTAAATAAATGAAACAGCAAAAATTTTCCCCTCACTGGTCTATCTTCCCTGGAGAGAGACTCTCAAGCTGTTACCCTGGTAACAAGTAGAAGGACCATTTGGGAGGTCCAGTTGTGTCATGATCGTATGAGCTGAACCCAAAGGGGAAAATTCACTGCCTCCTTGATGTTCATGTTCATCATCGCTCTCTAACCCCCACTGGACAGAGGATCAGAACATGTAGGCCATGTCTAGTCAGTCAAGAGAGCCACAGGCAGGCAGCTATGAATTCAGGAATATGGGCAAGATATACAGGAGACGAAACTTTACTAGTCAAACCTGAGGACCAAGACCCTGATATTCAAACCCTGAACTTGGAAAAGCTACAGATACAGAAAATGTTGTGGACATCAGAAACACGAGGAAAGAATATCCCATGTGTGAGCTGTGTGGGTTGGTTTTGTTTTATCAAGAAAACAAGATAGGATGATCTAGGAAGAGGAACTCTCAATTGAGACAAATTCCTCCATCAGATTGGCTAGTAGACAAATCTGCAGGGACATTTTCTTGACTGATGATTGGCATAACAGTACTGGAAGGTGTCACCCTCTGTATGGGTGGTCCTCAGATATATAAGAACGCAAGCTGAGCAAGTCATGGGGAGCAAGCCAGTAAACAGCATTTCTCCATGACCTCTGCGTCAGTCCCTGCCTCAAGTTTCTATCCTGATGTCCCCTCATGGTGGACTATAAATCATAAGATGAACTAAACTTTTTCCTCCCACATTTCTTTAGGTCATGGGGTTTCATCACAACAGCAGAAAGCCAATGAGTTCACATGGGAGGAGACAGCAATATTAACAGAGTCAAAGAGAACAGACCATCAGATGAGGAAGAGGGTGGCCAGGTCAGGCTTTCTTGAGAGCAGCTGTCACCAGGTCCTAAGAAACAAAAATTAGATGTTCATTTCAGGAGCTGAAGCAGGTACCTCTCTTCTGTCTTTATCAGGCGAGAGCTAAAGGAGCCTTTGAAGCATCAATCCAGAGCCCATCTGGAGCTGACAGTCTCCCCATGATTCCCGAGATCAGATTCGAGTCATGAGAATAGGTTATAAGGTCAGCTCTGGCTGAGAAAGTCCTGCCTGGGCCACTTTATCACCTGGTGGTGACCTGTCTTCATATCCATGACTATAGGATGCCTGAATGTGCCCCCAGAGCTTCCTGACCCAGTGTCCTTATCTGAGTTTCTAGCTGTCTCTAGACCACATCTCCTTTTATAAAATGGCATCATATATATGGCATCGCCATATATATCTGATGGCTCATCCCTGCTGTCTTTTTCATGAGTAACAGCCTTCCTCCGTTTCTCCTGTTCATGCTATGCCTTCCTGTATTTTCACTCTCTATTTCCCTCACTTTGGTTTCATGTTTTCCATCAGATTAGCAGTATATGGTCCAGAACACAGACTCTGCCTCCTGAGTGCCTGAATTCTTGCTCTTTCATTTGACATTGTGAACACTCCCCAAGTTCAGCTTCCTCACCAATAAACTGGGCATCTAAATGATGCCCATACTTCAAACCAGCTGGGGTTGACAGGAATCAAAAGTAGATGATAACCAAAGCAGGAAACTAGCCACATGGTTCCTTCTACCATTGTCTGTTATTCTTTCTGCTCTCATTCATTTCTTTCCCTCTTCCTTTCTCTGTCTCAAAGAATCTGTGTGATCTTCCCACACCTCTACCACTTTCTTGCTGTATGTCTTCCTCTATCTATCTTTCTTCTGCAATATTGTTGTTCTCAAGCAACATTTCTCATATCGAATCCATCTCTTCTAACATCAAAAGTGAGACTGTGACCTACTAAGAAATGGTAGTTTTGGTCTTCATCCCCTGTTTCCGGCCAGATTTCCTCAAATCCTGGATGAGTTCCCAAGTGGTTAAGGTGAAAAGAGAGTCAGTCTACCCTTGAGCATAGCCAGCCTTCCTCATTACCACTACAGTGTATATTACTGAGGTAAAGTTTGGAAATTCATTAAGAATGAAGGACTGGCTGCCAGGGGAAAAAACATGACGACAGCATGGGAACCCTGACCTCCAAGGTGAGAAGACCTAGAAATTGACTTGATCACATGGCTACTGACTTTATTCACCATGCCTGTATGATAGAACTTTTGTTAAAGATCCTAAGAGACTCTGTTCAGAGAGATTTGGGTTGACAAACTCCATAGTGCTGGAAGGGTGGTGTGCCCAGGGAGGACAAGAGAGTGTTGTGTTCTCTCCCGTTATTCCTTGGGGTGTCCCTCTCCCATGTGGTCATTGTTCATGTGCATATGTGTGTGGAGAGCAGAGGACGACCTCGGGTGTCATTCCTCAGGTGGCATCGACCTCTTTTTGTAGAGATGGAGTCTCTCACTGGACTAAACCTCATCAGTTTTCCTGGGCAGCGATCTCAATGGAGCTGCCTGTCTCTGCCTCCCTAGTACTAGGATTATAACACCTGCCCCTGTGTCTTGAGCTGGTTTTTTTTTTTTTTGCACAAGTTTAGGGGATCAAAAGCCAGTGTGCTTGTATGCACTTTGACAACGAAGTCATCTCCCTAACTCCCCTCACCCTAGCTGACTATTTATAAGCTATAACTTTTCTAATAAATTGTAAGCTAACGTTTCCTAGAAGTTCATGAACTATGCTAACAGTTCTGTAGCCTGAGGGGCCACGGTGACCTCTGATATATGTTCAGTTGACCAGAAACACGGGCCACATCCCAGAATTTGTAACCAGCAGATGAAGTAGACTGTTGTCTTGTGGCACTGAAGCATGTATCAGAATATAATTACATCATAAGACACCTTGTTGAAGTCTGGAGAGTTGGTTGGTGTGGAAAAACGCCATTCACCACACTTCTGGTGTCAGAGAGCAGTGCATGTAAGGGCACCACAAATCAGGAAATCTCTCTTACAGAGCATTTCCTCTTTGATGCCACCTTGAACCACACTGCTTCACCTTTCACCATTCCATATTGGTCATCTCCTTCAGAGGCTTCTCTAAGACCCAACTGTTTCTGAGTAGTCAGTCTCTTTCAATCTGGCTACCAACACTGGTTCTTTATCCTGGACATCAGGCTGGCCGTCTGTTGTCATGGCTACTCTGGGTGGATTCTACATCTCACTAGAGGCTAATCACTTTGAATTTTAAGCACCCCCTCCTTCCAAGACTCATGTATTAGAGGTCTGTCCCTCAGAATGGCACTAGTAGGTGTTGGTGCTACCTTTAACAGGTAGATCCAAGCTGAAGGAAGTTAGATCATTGGAGGTGTATCATTGAAAGACACAGGCAAATTCTCTCTTTCCTTGCTTCCAGGTCACCATGAGGTGAACAGCCTTGCTTCTCCCAATCCCTTGCTTTGGTGTCATGCCCTACCATAACAAGTGAGGTCAAACTATCTGCGGTGAAGTTCCTAACATCATGAACCGAAATTAATTGACTTCTCAGGTATCTGTTTTGTTTTTTAGGGAGTTTTACTACGTATAATTGGCTGGTCTCAAGCTCACAATCTTTCTGCCTCAGTGCCTAGCTTCTTCTGGGTAATTTGTCCCAGTGCAGGAAAGCTAACATCAGGTTCTTAGCCACTCCCCTCTCTGCTTTCTGTTTTGCCCCAAGGCACATTCTGCTAAGGATCACCTTTACTTTATAGTCTCTATGGCAATAAGAACTATTCTCCAGGTATAATTACCTTGTTCAAGACTGAGCTGTGAGTTCGGGTCCCTTCTATCAATGTCTCTGGACCACAATTCTTTCGGTAGTAAGACTGAAATGGGAGGGAGAGGGAAGAAGAAGAGGAAGCCATTAGAGATCTCTAGCAGGGACAAGAGGCAGCATTCCTGCATTACATGTTTAGGAATGTCCAGTCTCCCGATCACTGCAGGTTAGTGAGTGCCACATGACAGAGTTCACCCATCATGTCCTGGGGCAGAGAAGACTCCACAAGGGAGACTTTATGCTTCCCATACAGAAAGGAGACACTCAAGGTAAAAACTAAAAAAGTAAAAGACACACTTGTGCTGTGTTCCTATTCCAGTATTCAGAGGGCAGAGAAGGTAGATGTCAAAACAGAAAAAAAATAGAAACTTAACATGGCTTCCAGGCTGTCACAAGTATAAGAAAGAGGGGCTTTCCTGGATGGAAGGTCGAGGGTCTGGCTCATACCAAAGGGAGGCTTCATGATGGGCAGGCTTTAAAGATGGGCCAGATGGGGTTGAAGAACTGGCTCACACATTGCTGATTTCTATGAGCATGTGGTGCTAAGCTAAGATGGATCCTGCAACCCACAGCTGAGCTGTCACTCAAGGTGGGTGGTAGTGAA